TGAATGACTCGAAATATGAGCTAGAAATTTGTTCACTAGGGGCCCAATTATTCGATTAATTGATTTTAAGTAGAATTACTTATTATTTGCGTACGAATTGGCATGGACCAACTCATTGAATATCTAAGTCACTTGATTTCTTGTTCTTTCATGAATCTAGCGTTTTTTTTTAGAGGTAACGGACTAGATATTCCTTATTCTGAATTTATATAGGTGGGAATTCAATTTTGTTAGATGAATATATAAGATATATGTCCTTCGATAAAAGATAATAGTATAAATTAAATTAAATTATTAGTGTGTAAATAAAAACACGCTCAATTGATATATGGTTTTTATGAAAGTGGTTAGCAATCCCACTTATCGTTCTTCTCTCTCTTGCGCTCATTCTCACTTGTCACGCCTCTCTCTCTCGCTCTTAGTTTTTATTTGTAACTTATATTTTTTATTTGCATTTTTTCAATTTTCATTCGGCAAACAACAAAAAGAAATTGAAACGCAAAATAAACTAGCAACATGAAATAGAAATCTGCAAATTGTATATTTATTTATTGTTATTGTTTGCCGATAGACGATACATATCCTATTTTTCAGTTTGTAATTAAATATAAATTAAATATAGGTAGTTTGTTGTTTGCAATTAAATAATACTAATTATATTTTCAGTTAATTATTTGCATTTGACACATAATAAGGGGCGTTTCTCTTTTCTAGAGTCTGAGTTTTTGTAATATATATATATCTTTGCCACACTAGTATTTCTGTTGTTATTATTATTATTATTATTATTATTATTATTATTATTATTATTATTATTATTATTATTATTATTATTTTTTTTTTTTTTTTTTTTTAAGAAAGAAGATGAAAAGACCTAAATGGGTTTTGGCCTTTGGGAGATAAATAGGGGTGCGTGAGGAAAGTAGTGATCAATAGGGAAAAAATGAAGATTGGAGAAAAGAGAAAAAGAAAAGTTAAAAATTAAAATGGCTGGAAAGTGTGACAAACATGTATGTGCCATCTATTTTAGCAACTTAAATCAATAACAGTTGGTTCAAAATCGTGCCCACTTCTAAGGAGGTCCCTATGACAGATATAGTGGTGGTTGATCTTTAAATTGACTTTTTTGATTTCAAGTTGAATATTTAGGTCCTTCAATTCAATCTCATGATGACATGAAATATTGAGTGAAATTTCATCCACTACACATAACTTGGGAACATTCATATATATAGGTGCATTAGATAAATTTCTAC